TATACTGAGCTTAGGGTTGTGTCGTCCCGTTACCCTAAGGAGAACTATGGGGAAAAACACTGACCCCATAGTTCTCTTTTATAGTGTGAGTATTTAAGTCTTCTTCCAGTGAAACTTGGATCTTTAAAAACCTGTCAGTTCCTTGTGCGGTACTATCGAGTACGATCATTCATGAGCATTCAGAAGGGCAGTACAGTTATTTATTCTGATAAGCCTCTCTTTATAATATCCTTTACGACTTCTGGGTTTGTGTCCTAATCGTCTGTGTCATAGGTGAATACATTTGTTGTATGGATTCCTAGGGGTCTATTCACGAAGCTGCCGAAGGATCTGGCCGTAGCTTCGGCCGATCCTTCGGCTAGCTTCGGCCCCAGGACCCCTTCGGTTCAGTAGAAAGTCTGCCTTTACTTGCTTGTCTGCGGTGAAGTCTGCACAGATGTTCATCCAATTTTCCTTTTGCAAGGATTTGCTTATTGTTTTGGATTGTACACACCTCGGAATTGAACTGTGAGACCGTTATTAGCAATTAGTCTTTTTACTTTGCTTTCTGCTTTTCTGTTTTGCTTTGTGCTCTCATGCACCTTAAAATACATTTCTACCTTTGTAAGTGATTTGCATTTATTGCTGTAATGAAGAGGTGCAGTGATGATGTTCTGTATACGTGTGCACATTTTCATGACTCACATTTTAGGCTTTCCTCATTATTTTTAATAAACTTTTTATTAAGCCTGAAGCCCAGACACCAGGGTCGGATGGTAATTAGGCTGTAAACAGCTCTCCCCCTCCCGTGTATTCATTGTAACACGATCAGCAAACACCAGCTTTGCCTTTACACAAAATCCACTGTCCGGAAGTGGGGAATACTAATGAATAGGAGAGCTCAAAAAAGAGCTTGCAAAACACAGAGGTATTTCCATGACAATATGAAGAGGAAAGCTAACAAAAATTGTAAGTTTCTGTTTTCATCACTGGCGGAACTACCAGGGTCGCAGCGGTCGCAATTGCGACCGGGCCCTGGCGTTCCGCCACTTGGGGGGGCAACAAGGAAGTAGAGGCCCCCCCGCAATCGTGCTGCTCCTTCCCTGTTGCACAGCCACCCGCAGCATGTACGGGCGGCTGTGCAAAAGGGCTGGAGAGGCTGTCACTGATCCTGGAGAATGAGCTGGTCCTGCCTCTTAGGGGCGAAGCTAAGAGGAACGTCTCCTCTTAGCTCCGCCCCCTGGCCGCCGAGATGATGAAGAGGGCCATGGGTCTGCAGGAGAGGTAAGGTAAGTTTGGAGTGGGAGGGTGTGCTGGGAAGAGAGAGAGTGTGTGTTGCTGGGACTTGTAGTCCAGCACAGCTGGTGGTAATCTGCATTGCTGTATAACCATTATACAGCAATGCAGAATAGCTCCAACTATGTAGGACTACAAGTCCCAGCAATGCATTATATTTTTAAGTAGGGATACACCAGTGTTAATACTGGGCATTTTCACAATTACTCATACTCGTGAAAATGCCCCGATACTAAAACGCAGATACCAGTGTTCTGTCGAGAACGCCGATCTCAGCATCTGTGCTTACACACAGACCAATATTATCGAGGAAACCGGGATTTATTCACAAAGTATTTTGTTTAAATCGTTAATTGTGACCGATAATAATATTCCGTCCATCATTTCCCGCCATCCATCATTTACTGCCATGGACGGCATATCATTAACGGTCACAATTAACAATTACAAACGAATACTTTGTAAATAAATGCCTCGTTAATCCCGTCTGTACATAAACACAGATACTGGGTCAGCGTTCTCGACAGAACACCGGCACTAAAATTTTAAACAAGCAGCTGCCTGCGGTCCCACACTTGCTGGGGACCTCGGCAGCCTTCCTGTTAACCATGCAGTGCCGTGGGGGTGGGGGGGCCTTCATGGTTTCTTGCACCGGGGCCCTGAAGGTTCTAGTTACGCCTCTGGTTTTCATATACAGTACATCAGCTGCATATACAGTTTTTCTAAAACAATACAGACTAATGATTTCAGGACAGAGGTGGAGCGCCAGAGCCAGGTCCCAGCTGCAACCTCTGCAACCCTGGTAGCTCTCATGAAAATGCCAAGCATCTGCACTGGTATCGGTGCATCCTTACTACTCACATTCAGTATTAAAAAGCCGGCATATATTCAATCCTCCTCCTACACCCGCATGCGTGATGGAGGATGAATATAGAAGTACTTTGTACTTTCAATGTACCTAGGGGGCGGGTACAGCTGGCTCTGCCTCTAGATAGGCAGAGCCAGCTGTCACTCATGCAGCTGGGCGGATCCAGATATAATTGTCATGATCCGTTTCAGCTGCGGTATCTCAGTATACTCAGTATAATGAGCTTCGGGTAATGGGAGGACGCGATTTTTTTGTCCTCCCGTTACCCTTCGGAGAACTATGGGGAAAAGCCCTAAGCCCATAGTTCTCCTTTAAAGCTGAAGTTTAATGTGCTTATATTTTGTCATGCCTGGTTCCTGCTTTCTGTCATCATCAATATGTTATTATAGTTTATAAATTCAACCTTTTCTGTTTTCATTACATACAGGCCCGGATTTCCCACAAGGCCACCGAGGCCCGGCCTCGGGGCGGCAGAGCGCCGACGGGCGGCAACTGATGTCATCCCCCTCCTACACAGAATGTAAAACAACGCACCATTCACATGTAGATCTGAAGCACACTGTACTTGGGTATCTGACATGTGATCACTGTACATTCTTGTAACCACAATGCACTACACACTGATCTCATACTCATAGTTTGAACATGGCCAAGGACAGGCACCCATGTGACAGAGGCTGAGTCTGGAGATCGGCTGCTCTGACACTACAGGTCACATGACTTTTCGGACCCAAACGTGCCATAGCATTTCCAAGGGCTGCAACCTATTTAGTGTGCAAATCCAGAACTTGTCTGAAAACCAAAGCCAAAAACACAATTCTATACACACACAATGTGTACAGCAATCAAATTTTCAAAGACTCCAGAAAAACGCATTGCCCCCCTCCTTTCCCCCACCATATCAGCATTGAACCTCCCGACATAGACATTGCTTCTCATACACACACATTGACCCCCCTCCCCCATATACAGACACTGCTCTCTATACATTGCCCCCCCCCCCGCAATACACATATACAAAAACATTGCCCCACCCATACACAGACATTAACCCCCCAGCCTGGTGCTTACTGGGTTCGACACTCATATTCTCTCCTCTGCTGCAGCTACTGACACTGATGGGGGAATCCAGATCTTCTGCAGCCTGGTGTGTGTCAGTTCCCTGAGCTGATCCGCCATCTGCCTCTTGTCCGGTGTCCTCCCTCTGGCATACCTGACTCCTGACTGTGCATGGACGGCTAATTCCAGGATCACTTGAGGTGTCACCTGGATCCGCCTGTGGATTGCTGCATGCAGAGCTGGTTTGTGCCTGCAGGGCCAGTGCAGCTGCCTATGCCCTAGGTTTCGTTGTTGCACTAGGGGTGATTAGGGTGTGCCCAGGCACACCCCGTGCACACACCTATGGTTTCAACACTTAAAAAACTCTCTAGCATTTACAGATAATAATTAAAAAACATCCAGGCAGCAGTTCTGTAGAGTTAATGCAACTTTTTCATGATAGTGGTCAAATATGATTTGACATACTTGCACAAGCTGACAGAAAGTCAACAATGTTCAAAAAAAGCACTGTGTTCTTGTGTTGTGTCAATCATGTTTTGTGGGCGTAATGTGAACGATAGTGCGACCATTCATCTGTGCGGATAGAAAATACCCCCTGTCTATTTTGGTGGCATGAATATCTGAGTAAAGCATTGCATTATAGGAAGTTATGATTCTTCATACAGTATTGTTCTGTTATTAGTACCTTACTTTATTACATGAAGTTTCTTTGACATACGCCAAGCTTTGCTTCTCATGTTTGAAATAATTTTTTTCTTCTCTTCAACTTCCTTCATTAGCCTTTCTCTTTCTCCCTCTGACAAACTTTCCTCATCAGAACTTGAGGATGACGATGAAGAGGATGATGAACTGGAAAAAAAAAAAAATAATATAAAAAATGTCCCATGGTAGTTTTAATGTAACAAAGAAATAAAGAAACTTGATGCTAGCTATCTTGATGCTGTTCAGCGCTGCGGTACTTTGACTGACATTTATTCAGTCATGCAACGCTGTATTCAAATGAATTTTATACCATTTTTTGGGGACAGGTAGAGCTTTCTTTAAGTGGTATTTAATCACCACTGGGGTTTTTATTTTTTACTATACTATAACGAAAATCTTGGAGAAAAAAAAACAGTTTTCCCTACATTATGTTATGAAACATTTATTATTACCCAAATTTTTGGTAAAATATAAAAGATGGGGTCACGTCGGGTAAATAGACACCAAACATGTCAAGCTTTAAAATTGAGCACGTCCGCGAAATTGCAAAAGATTACCATACCCAAAATTGGCCACAGGCGATGCATTAAAAGCTTTTAAACACTCAACAGTTCAGTGTTAACAGTGATTACTGTGGTCATAAAATTATTGCTCACACTCCGACATTCGCAGTGATATGTAACATGTACGGCGCAATGGGCACATTCGTCATTTTTGCACATAAAAGCACCTGTCACATGTTTGCATGTGTATGTGGAGACGGGGGACTTTAAACTTTTTTCATGTTTTCTTTATATGTGACTTAATCTTTTTTATGTTACTTTAATTTTTTCAAACTTTTTTTTTTAAACTTAACTTTATTGCTATCACATAGGGGACTAAGAAGTCCACTATGTGATAGCAAAGATAATCTGACAGGTCCCCTTTTTGGTGACATTAGGGTATATGCTGCAGGGTATATACTGTATGCTGGCAGTGAACAAATTAACAAGAGATGAGCAAAATGAGCAAATGGATAACCTAATATTTGTCCTGCTGATATTTTACTATAACATAGTATATCACACTATAGTACAGTATAGCACCATAGAACACTGTACCTCTCCCTGTGATCTCCCTGTGCAAATATGTAAGCTTTCTCTAACCAGCTCCAACACACACTGACAAGATGACTGCTAGGAGTCCACAAGGGACAAAGATTCTGCAGTTTATTATACAGTAGGTTTGGCTACACATTTTCAGCCTCAAATTCAGAGTTTTGCCAAATCATGAAACCGTGATATCCACCTTGTTTCCAAAATGTCTCTGAACCCAAACCCCATCCTAATGATAATGTGCTGCACCGTTACTGTCCATCACAACTCACTAAACTAGCATGCTTTACACCAGAAGGGTGTGATATGCAGTACTGGTGATACTTGCCATCATAATTTTTGCCTAGTTTAGTGGTTTTTCTTCCTACAATAGACATGAGGCTACAATATACAGTAAGTATTAAAGAACTCTAGGTAATGCAAAAATTAACCCTTTCAGTCAGGCTACTCCCACACTGTAAGGATTAATTGCTTGTTTTGGTCTGGGGGGGTTAAAATAAAGAAAATATACTCACCTGATTTTCGGTACCACTTGGCTGCTAGACCAGTCCACAAAGCCTTTTAAAGGGTAAATCCAGTTTCCCAGCAAATATGGCAAACTAAAATTAAACTACTGTCTAACAGTAAGTGTTAAAAACAGGGGTTTTAGTTGCACAACGTTTGCAAAATATGTGGAAGGCCCCTCTGTGTAGTTGTCAGAGCACAATGAAAACCAGACAAGCAAAAGGTGCTAGTTAAAATATTTATTAAGAACAGTATCCACAGGAGTAAGCAGAGTCTTAAACCGGAACAAGCCAGAGTCAGGAGCCGGAGTGGGTTGTCGTCCAAGCCAGGTCAGGAACACAGAGATCAGCGTAGTCAGGAACAAGCCGGAAGCAGGAGCCAGGAAATCAGTGTTGTCAGGAACGAGCCAGGAGCCAGGAAATCAGCATTGTCAGGAACAAGCCAAGAGCAGGAGCCAGAGAAGAACATCAGCCAGGATCGGGTCATACACGAAATCAGGATACTCAGATCAGCAGGAAAGTACTAGCAGGAAGACCACGCAAGGGCAAGGTCAGACTGGACTGAGTGGTATATATAATGTAGTAGTGAGCAATGTTCCAGAGTCTGCTTGAGCAAGGAAGGAACAGGTGAGTGAAATGGCAGCCAAGCCAGCATGCTGCACACCAGTAAAGTCAGGGTGGAACCCTGACAGTACCCTCCCCTCAACGACCCTCTCCTCGTGGAGAGGGACCTGGTTTAGAGTGAAAACGAGCATTGAAGGAGCGCAACAGAGCGGAAGCGTGAACATCTTCAGATGCCACCCAAGAGCGTTCCTCTGGACCATAGCCTTTCCAATGAACCAAATACTGCAAACGACCCCTAGACACACGGGAATCAATTATACAATAGTCCACAATAAAATCCATGGATAAGTGTGTCCAAGAGCGCCCACCATACGGGATGGGCTGCAACAATCCCACAGGAAGGTGGCGGGGGTTTTTGGAATGAGCACAAACCTGACACGAAGCTACAAAGTCGGCACTGTCGGTACGGATCCCCGGCCACCAAAACTGTCTAGTCACAGACCAAACCATCTGATTCCTGCCTTGGTGGCCTGAAGCTTTGGCATTGTGGTATACGGAAAGGAGCTTAGTTCAGAGGTCTACTGGTACAAAGCATTTTCCCACCGGTCTCTCCGGAGGAGCATCAAACTGAGCAGCCAGAATTTGTCCCCACAAGGGTGACATCAAACTGGAGCGTACTGAGGCAAGAATGCGATTGGGAGGTACAACAGGAACATGTTCAGTATCCTCCTTGGACAGTACCGCAAACTGGCGAGACAGGGCGTCAGCCTTAATGTTCCTAGACCCATGCAAATAAGAAACAATGTAGTTGAAGCGAGACAAGAACAAGGCCCATCTGGCCTGCCGAGAGGATAGTCGTTTGGCCTCCGAGAGATAAGTGAGATTCTTGTGGTCAGTGAGTATTAACACCAGGACAGTGGTTCCCTCAAGGAGATGCTGCCATTCCTTGAGAACCAAGATGATTGCCAACAAATCCCTGTCGCCAATCTCATACTTGCACTCAGCCTGAAGACAGTTTCTTAGAAAAGAACTCACACGCATGAAGTCAGCCCTCGGGTGAAGAACGTTGAGACAGTAGGGCGCCCACTCCCGTCTCAGATGCATCCACCTCCAATATGAATGGTAAGGCTGGGTTGGGGTGGGCTAACACAGGTGCAGTGGAAAAAACCAATTTCAATCTTTCAAAGGCTTGTTCAGCAGCTGGAGACCAGGAAAGAGGGTTTGCACCCTTATTAGTCAAGTCAGTGATGGGTTTGACCAGGGTGGAGAAATTTTTAATGAATTTGCGATAATAATTAGCGAAGTCCAAGAATCGTTGAATGGAGCGTAAACCAACTGGGTGAGGCCATTGGAGCACAGCTGCTAATTTCTGTGGGTCCATGGAAAACCCCTTGTCTGAGATAACATAACAGAGGAACGTGACTTGAACTTGATGAAACTCACACTTTGAGTTTACAAAATAGCCCATTCTCCCGCAGACGTTGGAATACTCGGGCCAATCAAGCCTGGGATTATGGGTCTGGAGCCACGGATAACCCAGAACCACCGGAAAGTGTGAGGAGGAGATCACCTGGAACTGGATCGTCTCATAATGTAAAGCCCCCACCGCCATGGCAAGAGGAGTGGTCTCCAGGGTGATGAGTGCAGGCTGCAAGGGTCTGCCATCAATGGCCTCAATAGTCAATGGAGTGGTACGAGGCCGTGTGGGTATCAGACTCTGTGAGACAAAAGAAGCGTCAATAAACATACCCGCAGCACCGGAGTCAATCAGAGCCGAAGTAACTACCGAGGAGTCCGGCCATGAGAGTACCACAGTGACCATAGGCTTCTCCTTGAGGAGCCTTGGGGACGAGGAAACCCCACCTAAGATCCGTCCCCTATGGAGTCTTAGGTGCGAGCGTTTCCCGGTCGTGTGGGACATGACCTCAAAAGATGACCTGCGAGGCCGCAGTAGAGACATAGCCCCTCACGTCTCCTATAGGCCCTTTCAGCCTCGGACAAACGTGTAACTCCCAGTTGCATGGGTTCAATACCCCCAGCAGACAATTCACCGGGCAGTGAGGACAGAGAGGGAGGTGCAGAAGGGGAGGAAAACGAGGGAGCCAATATGTTAAGAGGCCTACGCAGGTGCTCTTTAAACAAAGGTCTCTCACGGAGTCTGGTGTCAATGAGAATCAGGAATGACACCAGCTCCTCCAGATCGCTGGGCAATTCCTTAGCAGCCACTTCATCCTTGATATTATCGGAGAGCCCATGGAAGAAGGCTGCCACCAGTGCCTCATTATTCCAGCCTACCTCTGCTGCTAGGGTACGGAACTCTATGGCATACTCGGCTACAGTTCGCATACCTTGCCGGATGCACATAAGCAATTTAGCGGCAGAGAGGGATCAAGCTGGTACATCAAATACCCGTCTGAAGGAGGCCACAAATTTAGGGTAGTTGAAAATAATGGACTTATCGTTCTCCCAAAGCGGATTAGCCCAGGCTAATGCTTTATCCGTCAGTAAGGATATCAAGAACCCGACCTTCGCACTGTCACCAGGAAATGCCTGCGGAACCAACTCAAAATAGATTCCCACCTGGTTTAGGAATCCGCGGCAATGATTGGGGTCACCCCCGTAGCGCTGGGGTAAGGGAGATCGACCCGACATGCCCCTTCCAGGGGTAGGCTCAGGAGCAACGGAAGGACCAGTAGGGGTAGTGGCAGGGCCCGGAGGCGAGGCATTAGCCAGGTCCAAATGAACCGTGCGAGTGAACCGCTCCATTCTCTGATCCTGCAAATCCAGCCTGGAAAAAATTGTCTGCAACAGAGAGGGACTAGGGTTTACACTAGCTCCGTCCGCATTCATGGCCCTTGCGTAATGTCAGAGCACAATGAAAACCAGACAAGCAAAAGGTGCTAGTTAAAATATTTATTAAGAACAGTATCCACAGGAGTAAGCAGAGTCTTAAACCGGCACAAGCCAGAGTCAGGAGCCGGAGTGGGTAGTCATCCAAGCCAGGTCAGGAACACAGAGATCAGCGTTGTCAGGAACAAGCCAGAAGCAGGAGCCAGGAAATCAGCATTGTCAGGAACAAGCCAGGAGCAGAAGCCAGGAAATCAGCGTTGTCAGGAACAAGCCAGGAGCCAGAGAAGAACGTCAGCCAGGATCGGGTCATACACGGAATCAGGATACTTAGAGCAGCAGGAAAGTACTAGCAGGAAGACCATGCAAGGGCAAGGTCAGACTGGACTGAGTGGTATATATATATATATGGTGAGTGGGGTGACATCATCACTCAGAGACAGGAAACTCCCATCTGACTATCTCAGATGATGCTCTCCTATCTGACCATAAGAGGGAGCCCGGGAGTAGTGACCAACGTTCCAGAGTCTGCTTGAGCAAGGAAGGAACAGGTGAGTGAAATGGCAGCCAAGCCAGCATGCTGCAAACCAGTAAAGTCAGGGTGGAACCCTGACAGTAGTGTGGTCCTAACCCTAATCTTTGAGAGCCTCCTTACTGGAGCTTATAAAACAGTAGATAAATTAAATGCAGGGGACGCACTGGAGGCCCAGTGTTTAAAAATGTAAGCTGAAGCCTCCAGTGCGCCCTCACAAAAACGGCAACAACAAATCAATTCGTAACTAGTCTTAAGAGCAAGGTGCAAATGGAAGGGCTTGCAACAATGTTAAACACAGAAATTTCCCAGCACACTTACCAGCTAGTTTGCAACAAAACAAATTACACTAACCTGCATACTGTCTATACCTTTGGGGGAACTGCTGTTTTTCCCCTGCTGCAGACTTATTGGTCACGCTGACCCATGAGAAGCAGAGGTATAAAAATGACAAAATGAAGAGAATTACAGATCTTTTGGTGGGTTAAACATTTGCCATGTACAGTATATATTTCAACTTTGTATTTAGCCGCTTGTCTGGAGTACATCCTTTAAGGGAAAGTATAGTGGTTTTATGTTTACAGAAATCAGTAATTCAGTCTGCAGTCTACTATGTAAATGCAGTCTACAACTGTAAATGTACACAATGAGCATTAACAAATTAATGTCCATACCTGCTCTTTTTTCTCTTCTTTTTCTGGTCCTCCTTTTCATTTTTTTTGTGAGATCCCTTCACATTTCCTGCAGCTTTTTTATTGCTTACTTTCTCATTTTTTGTTGTGGTCTTTATATTGTTCTTGTTAATGTCCTTTACTACTTTTGACTTCCTTTTGTTGATTTGTTCTTCCTCAGACTCAGTCTCTGTTTCAGTCCCCTGTTCTTCTACCTTCCTCCTCCGTGTAGATTTTCTTATAATTCGTTTTCTTTTTGGCAATTCAAATTCTTCATCATCTTCACTGTCACTGGGGTATTCTTGAATGTTAGATTTATCCTTCAAATATCTTAATTGCCTTTTGTCTAATGAATTTGTTGTCTCAGTATCTAAATAGAAGAATGAAGGTGTTAGACATTAAGTGACTAGCTCACTGAGATATGATCTGGAAAAGCAAATATTACATTCCCTCTGGAGAGTCCATTTGCATACAATCTTGCCTTGACATCAGCAAACAAGTCAGCATCATAGGAGAATATTCAGCATGTCTGTTATGTGAAAATCAATGTACAACATAAATGCAAACTGTAAGCATTTTTTTAACAAAAGATTTCGGATTTGCCTAACCAGGAATCACTTTAGTATTGTAATAGATTAAACTGTAAGAGATAATACTCAATATATTGTAAAGTTATAACATGATTTATGTTCTATATTTAAATGTTTTGTTCATAACATCTAAAGTATTCCAGTAATTGAAATATTTTAAGTTTGTTTCATAGGCTTATATGTGGACAATACAGATAAACTGAGATAACATGTAGCAACAATTTATTGGAGTGTGAGAGCATCTAAACAGTAAAAATGTCTGAGGCTGTGTTATGTGCAACGGCTGGGATACTGATACATTTGTGATTGCAGTAAGTACCATAGAAACAGTTTTTAAAACAGATCAAACATATTTAGGAAGAAATCCAGCTCAAGATTAAATGTGAATTATTTAGGACACTGCTATGGACACTCGTCAATGCTAAGCCTGATGGAGAAAAGCGTTGTGGCCCTGAAAGCGCTCGTTTTGTGATTTATCTCCAATAAATTAATGTTTTGTGATCCTAAAAGGATTTTCATGTGCTGGTAATATCTATATACGTTTGCTGATACTGGCGGCGCCATCTGCAGTTACTACGAGTACCGTAATGGGGGATTACATGGGATATTGTAATAGGATCTCCCGTGCCCGTCGATTCGGGCCGCGGGCCAGCCTCTCAAACCAGCGGCGTGACGTCGCTAGGAGACCGAGGCGTCGCACGTCATGCTCGGCTCCTCCCCCCTCAGGAACTCCTCCTTAAAATGACGCGAGTTGCAGTAGCTCGGCGTTCTAGTGTTGCGAACATCAAGCCAGTGCAACTCGCCTATATCCTGAGACACAGGAACCAACCATCTCTGAAGTCAGCCTCACAAATCGGGACTCACAGCCGCCGCTGCTGCTTCCATCAGACTCTCGCATAGGGATC